GGGTGTGTGTGTGTGGGTGTGTGTGTGTGGGTGTGGGTGTGTGTGTAAAGGGCACCAGGCTGGAAGTCATATCCCCTAAGCTCCCTAGTCCTGGCTTTCCCCCCTATTGATTAACTCATCTCTCTAGAACTCAAGTTGACAGGTAAAACGGTAATGTGCAAACTTAAATATATTATTGAGAAAATAAACTTCCCTGCTTGAAAACTTCGCTTCTTCTGTAAGCCCAGCCTTCTCTGTAGGAGATAGAGGCTGCCAAGGGAGGAACTGGAGTGGGGGCAGACTTGGAGTGGAGCCCCTACCTTCTCCCCACCTCTAAACCCGAAGATGGTGAGGGTAGCTCAGGTGGCTCCTTGTTAACTGCACCATTTCTGTTCACCTATGCCCCTTTGCCTCCGTTGTTGGCTCCAACCCTTCAATTCTTCTTCACCTCATCCCACCCTAGGGCCACAGTGCCCAACAGTCAGTGGTTACTACTCACACGCTTATCCTGTACCACTTATCTCTAGCTGTCTGCTCCCTCTCTGGGCTGAGACAGAGGGGAAGGTCAGTAACCTGTGAACAGGGCCACTGAGAAGGTACACTTTTCATTTGGGGCAGAGGGTGAACACGACCCCTAGCAGCCTCCCTGGCAGCTCCCTACCCACATGTCACAGAGCTGGAAGTTCCATCCTCGCTGCTGCTCTAGAGAGTGAGAGAGGCAAAGGCAGGGGAAGCGTGCCCCTGTACATTTCTCTGTGGGTAAGCTAAGAGGAGGGTTGCAGAGCCTGTCTCCCCAGTCTTCATCAGGGAGAGAAGAGGCTCCCAGGGCAGCCCCCCAAAGTCTCATGCCCACTTTGTGCCATGTGAAGCTACTCAGCTTGAACACTTGCTGGAGCATGAGTGGGGAATTCCTGCCCCTATTACACCTCTGCAAACCCAACCCCCTGCAGCTGTATAAAGTTCAAGGTAGGGAGAAAGCGGTGAAAGACAGTTTGAGCCAGATCTGGGGGTGGGGTCTTCATAGATTTTTCTCATCTTGACAAGCCCTGCATGTTTATACAGTACTTTTTCGATTCAGTTTGTTTTTTCAGTGACAGTATGATAAAAACAAACTTCTTTAAAACTAGGACATCTGAGCAGGTGCAATGAAAGAACCTCAGGTAGAGGTGGATGTGCAATGCTACTGTCAACCTCCCTCCATACCTCCCCCGCAATCCCTTCTAGAAGCCAAAGCAGGTACTCAGGAGGAGCAGACACTGACCCCTCCCCTACACCTCAGCATGGCAGACAGAAGTCACAACCCTCTTCTGAGAAAAAAACATATGTATTGAGGAACCACAAATAGCTTGGCTGGGAGAAGCTATTAGCACCCAGAGGATGTGCTAACCTGGCATAGACTGAGAATTTCCTTTGATAGAAGTTTTCCTACTAAGAAGGGCTGCAGAAGCATGTTCTAGTTGAACAGAGAAGACATATTCCCGAAGACAGTGCTGTGGGCAGTGGTGAGGGAGGCCTGAGGCACCCCACATCCTTGGCCCATGCTGCTGGGAGCTGACTGGGGACACGGGCTCCCTGAGGGGCAGTGATGCGGAATGTCTCACGCACAGTTTCTCATTGTTGAATCTTATAGTTTTCAAGGAATGTTGGTCTCTGTTCTGCCTTTCTCTGATAGGACAACTCTGGCCTTCAGGGGTGGCTTGGTGATGGCAGGCTGTATCACTCATCACTCTCCTGTGCTCGGAGGAGGAGGGAGCCCTGTGGTAAGGGGAACATCCACCAACCACTGCCTGACTTTCTTGGATTTCCTCTTTTTGCTGACTTAACTTTGAAGGATGAAGTCCCTGCTCAAGTGCCATTTTCTCTTCTAGAATTTGGCCAACAGCTGTCATGAGTGCCTGAGCCTCAGTGGCCCCCCTGTCAGTAAAGATCAATCTGCTTTTGACTGTTCCATGGCTCTGGGGAGAGGCTGACACAGGCTTTCCTTTTTGCGGAGGATCAACCTGCCCTTTGTCTTTTTTACTGTGGAAAATCCACTGAAGAAAGTGCTTAATCCTTTTTCTGAAGTGGCCTTCTAGAGGAACCTGTCTCTTCTCTGGCAGTATCTGGAGGTACTTGCTTTCAATGATGTCTCCTATTCCCTTGACCTGAGAAAGTTGGCTCATCCCATTGGCTTGGGAGGCCCCCAATCCTGCCAACCTTTCTTCACACTCTCCTGGTTTGTGCCTCCTACAATCCTTTTTGTCAGTGGGGGTAGAAATCTTGCTCTGGCGCTTCCATGGGTCCTGAAGGTTTGGGATCTTGGACTCCTGCTGCCCCAGGCCACTCCTTCTGGCTGTCATGAGGTCATACAGTACTTGGGAAGCTGCCATGTCTCCACTGGACACATTCTGGGGATGAGACTGAGATATCTGACAAACCAAGTTATCTGCGGCAAGGAGTATCTCAGTGGCATAGTTTTGAAGGAGCATCTCAGGGGGACAGCCTTGAGACTGGTCCTCTGGCTCTGACTCCATTTTGAACTCTAACTCACTAAACACCTGTGATTTAAAGCAAGGCTCTCCAGGATCTCGAACAGACATTCTAGGAGTTGAGGGGCTTTTGCTGGTCCCTGAAGCCCCTAAACCCTTTACATCCACATTTATGTTTTGAGATTTTGGCAGCACACTGGTTCTCAAAATGTCTTTATCCTGTAGCTGTAGTGCAGAGGATTCCCTGGCCACTAATGCCTTCCTCTTCTCTTCAGCCCCTGAAGATTGGGATTCACAGCTCATCTCCAGCATTGCTACAGTAGGGCTGCGGTCTCCTGAGGCACATCTCACACTCTCCTCCCTGGGCCCCTTCCAAGCCATTGATTGACTTGCTGTCGGCTCTAGGCTGCCTCTCTGGGCCCCCAAGACAGTTCCAGTCTGCAAGGCTCTGCCCACAATGCTGGATGTGAGGGGCTGAAAAGGCTGCCTGCCCTCCTGCCCACTCTGAGGGGCCTCTGAAGGCCCATTGTCATTATCAGGTGGGGCCCACCTCAGGGTTCTCTGGACTTCCTCACCTGCAGGTGAGGAGGCAGGGAGAGGACTCTCCAGGGTGGGGACTGATTTTTTTGGTGTCACCTTCTCTCCCCAGCCTGCTTGAAGGTTTTCTTCCAGAAACTTGGCAGACTCAACTCTTGAGTCCGCCCAAGATTCATGAGTGGCTGAAGAGGGAAAGTTGGACTGGCGAAAGGGCAATAAGTTGCCCTTTCTTGTCTTAAAGAAATTTACGGGCTCAAGGACTTTGAGGGGTAGACACCATCTGTGTCCCATCCAACACCTTACAATATGTGTTTCCAGCACATGTTGAGTGCCCGGATTGAGAAAGGAAAGCTCTTGGGTGGTGTTTACACGGTATGCCTGACCCTTTGGTGATGCCAGATTTCCAGTTTTTGTGTAAGTGTCAGATTTGGGCAAAATATGGTTGGCAGCAAGCCAGGAATGATGGACACCCACAGGGATCTGATCCTCAATAATCTGCCCCGACTTCCTGCCCAAATGGACTTTTAGGGTGTTTTCTGGTTGTTTCTTATGTGGGCCTCTTAATATGCAATTTCCTGAGTTACTCCCTAAGTGCGTCATCAAGTCATTTTTTGATTCCTTCTTAGAGTCTGCCCCCAGAACGTTCACTGGGGAGTTTTCTGATCTCTGGGATATATTATGTTCTGGGACCTTCCCTAGACTATGACCCAGATCCTTGCTCAGATCCCTCCCTAGATGTAAATTTGCCAAGCCGCACACATGAAAGCTTCCTGAGTGTCTGGATCTTCCTGGGTGCCTGGATCCCATCTTCTTTACATCCTTGCTGCTTTCACCTGTATGTAGTGAGGGCCATAAGGGTCCATTCTGGTCCTTTGCCTGGCATGGCCTTGGTAATTTTCCCTGAGGTTCTGTCAGTTTTAGAATCTCTTGGATCCTGCCAGGCAGGCCCCATTGATGATGGATGAGCCTCTTTCGAAGGTGTTGCTCCAGTTGCTTCTGGAGCTCAGGGCTTACAAAATCCCCAGGAAGGGTGGAGTCTGACTTGTGGGCCTGGGAGGCTTGATTATCCTGGGAAAGGTTGCTACTGAGAGGACTAAAGGCTTCCTGAGATCTTTTCACCACAGAGGGTAAAGCCCTCCCACTTCCTAGTTGTTCCTGCAACAAGGGCCGTTCCAGGTGTTGAATTTCAGTTGAGATGAGAGATTGTGCCTCATTCTGGGCTGCAGGGCAAGATACTCCACAGGCCGTAAACTGAGGTAGAGAAGAAGGTAGGATTGGAAGTGAGGACTGGAGATGAGCTTGAGTCTGGACCTGAGCTAGAGGTGGGCCCCCAGATTGGGACATGGTTAAAATCAAAGGCTGAAATTGGGCCACAGGGTGTTGCAAGGACTGAGGCTGGAAAACTAAAGGAGATACTTTAGCCTGCATTTGAACTGGTAAGGCATTAGAGCTTCCATTGAATAAAACAGAGGGAAGCTCTAGTGTGGAACCAGAGACTGTGACAGTAGCGACCAGGGACTCGCTGTGCAGAAAGGGGAGACCCCAGAAGAGCTGGCTGCATTTCTGCGGTAAGTGGTCCTTCAAGGTCTTGTGATATAAGAGCAGCTGCTGTGGTTTGTCTTTGGTGCTCCAGATGGGTTGGGAAACTGTGGTGTCCTGCTCATCACTCAATGATTTTACAATATTCCTCAAAGAATTCAGGTGGTAGTCTGAGCTCATTTGATTTGGAAATGACCCATCCTGTCCTTTTTCCTCCCAAATCTTGAACTCAACGCTCTTTGTGACTTGTATTTCCAGCAGCTTCTGGACATCTGGGTTGGGGAAAGTGGGATTGCCAGTCCCTGTGCTCCTGTGTGTGTGGCCTCCGCAGAAAGCAGATTCTTGTGGGTAGCAGGAAGTATGCTTTTGCTGGGATTCACAATGTTTTGAGGTAGAGAGGCCCAAGGCCTTGGCAGCCTCCTGCCACCAGGAGAGGGTCAAAAGGGGACGGCTTGAGGTGTCAAGGCCTGTGATCACTGGGACAGAAGAAGTCAACCAGCAGTTATCTGGAAAGGGGCTCCCCGCGAAGGGGCTCAGTGGGAGCGCCATCGCCATTGAGTCACACTGAGAAAGGGTCAAAGTGGTGTTTGACAGTGGTGACACAGAAAAGGTTGTTGGAGGCTGAAGACAGGCAAATGAATCAGGGAGGTGTGGTAGGGGAGGAGGAAGAGGAAGTGGTGGGGGTGAAAGACTGTCAAGGGGAAGAGGCAGTTCTGGTGGTGGAGGGGCACTCAGTGAGGGTGAAAGATCAGAAATTGAGGGGATCATCAGGTCCGGTGAAAGGGCAGAGGTCAGAGGTTGAGGGAGCTGGGTCGGAGAAGCTGTGGAACCGGAAGGGGACACAACGGACACCAAAGGAGCAGCACCTTCTGGGGGTTCCATACATGGCTGATGGGCTTCAGGAAGTGCTCTTTTGCTCGCCCCAAAGGAGGTGTCTTGCCAGGACTGCTGACGAATGCTGCCCTTGTCAGGGGGCTTTCCCAGGCGGCTGCAGGAGACAGAGGACCAGGCTGCAGCCAGGAGTCAAAGGGTGTGCAGGGCCTGGCGGGCCAGCAGGGATTGGGCATCTGCAGCCCACGCCCTGCCCCTCCCCATGCCCTAACTCACTCTAGTTCCTGCTCTCCCTCCCCCAATGGCTTCCATCACATTCCCTCCCCACAGGTGCCCCCTATGTCAGCCCTAGCTGCCCTGCAACCCAGGGGTCACACAGTAGGCCCTAGTAGGAAGAGAAGGGGAAAGTTACTCACTTTTGCAGAAGTGAAATCAGGCCCCGAGCCTCATGTAATTCTTTCAGGCAACTTCTGCAAGCTGGAAGTCAGGAGAGTGGCCTACCATGGTAAAAGTCAGGCCTAGGGACCTTATAGAAGGCTAAGTGGGATGTCCCTCAGGGGACACAGTTGGGAGATTAGACTCTGAGAGCCCAAGCTTTAGAGTCCATGATCGCTGACCCTCAAAGCAAGGCTCACATGTGTGAGGTGCTTTGTCAATTACCAAGTGCTTCCACATCCATTATCCCGTGACATCTCAATGAGGAATTTGAGCCTTGGCAAAGTTAAACAGCTTGTCCTAGCTGGACCTGGACGTTCCGTGTCCAGATCCACCAGTTACCCATTCATTACGTCCCACACCACCCTCTACTGGGTAACACCCCCGTGAGGCCCATCATGGCTTCATCCCCCCACCCATCCCCCAAAGCCCAGCACGGAATCTGAGAAGTATCCAGGTTCTGATTCCCTCCCCCAGGAGCCTCCCTCTCAGGGCGTCCTCTGAGACCCAGGACTAAGCCCTCAGGGACAGGAGAGGTTAGGGTTAACCCGTGGGAGTTCCGTTGAGTGAGCAGAACCTTACCTGTCACAGCTTCACTTTTGTTCCTCTTCCTGTTCCTCCTCCTTGTCTCCCCTTGAGGCTGAGATACACGAAAAGAAGGAGGGTCTGGGAGCCAGTTCTCACTGTTCTCATTACAAGCCGCAGACATTCAGTATTCATGAATAAAACGACTTTCTACATTTAATTAATGAAGCTCTGTGTTTCTTCCTTTTACTCATTTTTACAGTGGATAAAAACATTTTCTGTCTTCCTTCTTTGAACAACTCAATGAAGGATTTTCTGTGTGAGATCTAGCCTGGATTTCTTCAGTCACCATTCCTCTGCTCAAGAAGGGCACAGTCTCTCAGACCTACAGACGCCTCTGGGCTCTGTCAGGTAGGATTCCGCCTCCTGAGGCCAGAGCTCAGCTGCAGCCCCTGGTCAGAGGCTCTCAGCGGTGCGGCACGACTCCCCAGATCAGCCCTGACCCAGAGGAAGGGCTTGGCCCAGAGACATCTGCCACAGGAAGGTGACTGATGAACCAGCGCTGAAGGTCTCTGGCCTCCTGAACTCTAAGTAATCCAGTCCTCAGCCACTGAGTCACTGTGTTTGGGATTTTGCCTTAGAGCCCTCTATCACACGCAGACAGATGGTCTGAGATCTTCAAATAGAAATCCTGGTGCCCACTCTAGCCCCTGCCCTGCCTGGCCTGTCCCTAGAAGGCTGATGTTTATTCTTGTCTGAGGTTTCCTATTTCAGGAATTTCTCTAGTTGATTTAGAAAATGGAAATAAGAACAGGGGTAAAAAAGGAGAGAGAATCAGTCTCTGTTGGGGCTGGGTTGAGGGTTCTTTACCTTCTCGATGTTTATATTTTTCTCAGGTGGTGGTAAGGGTGGATTACTCTGGAGGTAGGGGAGTAACAGGAGGAAGAGCCCCACTCCACACAGGAAGCCCAGGATAGTTTCAGTGATCCAGGAAGTGGAGCTGGAGCTCATCCAGGTAGCACTAAAGCTTTTCAGAGGAAAGAGGTAATTCTCCATGGTCAGAATCGCATTGTTGCTCTCAGGCAACTGTGCACTGCCAGTGTGCTCTAGCCTAACAGTCCAGGCCTGCATCACTGAGCTGTGGCTTCATCACTCTGGCCTAAAGGTCCAGGCCTGCATCACAGAGCTATAGCCTCATCACAAAGGGCTCCTGAGGGTGGGGGAGGGGACAGCAAGAGGAGGCTGACCCACAGCCCTTCCCTGCATGTCTTAATTTCCTAGGGCTACCATAACAAACTACCACAGCGGGTGGCTTTGAACATCAGGAATGTATTGTCTTGCAGTTCTGGAGGCTGGAAGTCCCATTCCAGGGTGTTTGCAGGGCCATGCTCTTCTTGTCACTCTAGTGGAAGATCTTCCTTATCTCTTTCAGTTTTTGGTAGCCCCAGGCATCTGTTGTGATTCCATGGCTTGTAGATGTATCTTGACATAGTGTCTTCCCCCAGTGTGTGAAATTCTGTCTCAATATCTGTTCTTCCCTTTTATAAAACTCCACTCAGAAGGAATTGGGACCCACCTTACCCTGATAGGAGCCCTGGTGGTGCAGTGGTTAAGAGCTTGGCTGCTAACCAAGAGGATGGCAGTTCGAATCCACAAGCCGTTCCTTGGAAACCCTATGGGGTAGTTCTACTCTGTCCTATAGGGCAATGGCAATAGGTTTTTTTTTTCCCCCTACTCTGATATGAACTACTTAAATGATGAGATCTGCAAAGAAAAACCCTACTTCCCCAAACAAGGTCATATACACAGGTATAAGGGTTACGACTTCAATACTTCTTTTTGGGGGACACAATCCAGTCCATAGCACCCTATCATGCAGCTCAGCAGATCCCTCCACCCTCCTCTGGGCCTTCCAACTCTGCCCTTTCACCCTGTCATAGGCAGACCTTAGTACAATTTCCTAGTCATTTCCACTTGCAACCCAGATATTACCGGGTTCCATTTATCCCTTGGAGATTTTGACTTGAGCCCCACCAATATCATATTCTTTGAAAGTTTAGAGTTCTCCCAGAAATTTTGGCAATTTCCCAGAGATTTTTACTCTCAGGCGCTCTTGTCTTCAGCTCCAGCTTTCCCACATAATCGGGGCAGATTACCCAATAAGCAAGGTAAGCACGGGTTTACTTGTGCTTACTTACTAATCTGTAGTGAACAATTTCACATGGGTTTCACCAGATATGGTGAAACCAGTGTGAAGGGGAAACCCATGTGAAATTGTTCACTGTAGATTGGTAAGTAAGCACAAGTAAGCCCGTGCTTACCTTGCTTACTGGGTCATTCGCCCCTATTAGGGATTGTAAATTTGAAAAAAAGGCTTTGATTCTGTAGGAAGGTGCTGTGGGGTTAGGAGAGAGACAGATGCCAGCCATATCTAGAAGCAGAATCTTTGATGTGGTGAAATTGTTCACTACAGATCATCTGGTAAGCAAGGTAAGCACAATGCTTACCTTGTCACTGGGTGGAAACCCCAGGTTCTTGCTCAGCACGACTCATATTGGCCAATGAACGAGACCCAGGTGGGAAGGCAGAAAAGGGCCTTTATTTCGTTGTGCAAGGAAAGCATTCAGTCGGAGCTGCTGCAGCCAAGACTGCTCCCTGAGGGCAAGGGGAAAAGTTACTTTTAAGGGGTTTACAAGTAGGGAGTTCATACAAGTTACATCAGCAACATTCTTAATCATACTACGCAGGTGCAATGGAGTTTACATATAACTTCCAAGCAAAGAAAGCCGGATTCTAATGCAAAGCTGTAGAGGAGGAAGCTAAGTGAAGGAAACAGGATTTAAATGCAAAAGCTGCTGGGTGTGGGTGAGCTAAGCAAAGAAAGCAGGATTCTGATGCAAAGCTGCTTTAGGTAGTGGAATTTTCCACAGCCTGGGGCATCTGTTTTAACCTTGCCTATTGGATAATCCGCCCCTGCATGTAATGTTTTTGTCTTGCATCAACCCAAGGCACATAATTTAAATTTCTTTTATGTTTATTTAGTTTCGTGAATTTTGAATAGTAAGCTTTTAAGTTCTGTACCATTTTCAATCAGAAGGGCCTACATAACAAATTAAGATAATTTATTAATTAAAATTCATAAATCTAAGTATAAAAATTGTAAGTAATTAAAACTTCAAGTGATTTTTTTTAAGTTTGTAGCATTAATATTTATAATTCTGGAGTTAATAAAGGTTAATAAAGCTTATACTACACAGGCTTGGGACACACAACACACACACACTCATTCTTTCACAAACCAATCCAGTATTTTCAAATCCAATAATCAAGCATTTCCTTCATAAAACAAATGAAAAAAAACCTTTCATATGTTGTCTTCTTATTTTACCCAAAATAAAGTCTTCAATCTTCACATCAGAGTTTCCAAACATGTGCCACACCCACTAGCAAGGAATGGTTTAGGGTGAGCTAAGGCACTGATCCTTAGGGTTCTTAGGGTGGGAGGTGGGACTCAGGGATCAAGCAAGGTCTTGGGGCTGATCGTGGTCTTGAGCAAAAACCAGAAAACCAAACCTATTGCTCTCAAGTCTATTCTGACTCATAGTCACCCTATAGGACAGAGTAGAACTGTCCCATAGGGTTTCCAAGGAGTGGCTGGTGGATTTGAACTGCCAACTTTTTGGTTAGCAGCCGACCTCTTAACCACTGCACCACCAGGTCTTGAGCAACCTCTTCTAATATTCCTGGTGTGTTCTATA